ACATTTAATTAAGGAGAGGTTTCAAAAAGCAGATTGGGATATCTGGGTTTCTGTAGAGCCTGGTGTCACTACAGAACAGAATTGCGTGAAAACACAAGTTCTTGGGTCTCTGTTTCCTTGATGCAACTCCACTCACACAGGTTTACTCGTAACTTGTGCAAGCATAAGTGGTTACCTCTTTGCTGGTAAATTAATCAGGGCCAGCACACAGGTTAGGTACTGTGACACTATGTGCTGTTCAATTCTTTGCTCTCCCCTTGATGCAAATCTGGCTCATGCCAATTAGCTCAACTCCAGAGGTTGCAGCACCTAAATGCAATGGAAAATTTTATTCTAGCTTTAAGAGTAGTGTGAACAAATATTTAAGTGTTATTCATGCTATTGCGTAGCTATCTTTTTTCTTCCTTTACTAATGTAAATATAGTTTATAACTATTCCTTATAAGGGTGTTGCCAGTAGTGTGTTTAATAGACTTCATGATTAGTGTACAGTATTGTTAGAGCAAGCTCTTCTGATTAAGATTGTGTGTCCATTATATTCCAGTATTTTATACCAACGCCCATTCTAATAGCACTGTTAGATTTGGTGTTCATTTCTCCATCTGAAAAACTGAAGGTGTTTAAAAGGGGATTCTTTATTAGGGTAGTGTTTCAAAATACTTTGGGTAGCTACAGAGTATGGGTATCTAAGAGATATTCAATTTAGAGCAGACTTTGCTGCACTGACATGATTCCTGTCAACTTCTTTGGCATCAAAATCTTACCCAGAAATTCTCCTGCTACAGTGACCTACTGGAAACCAATTTGCAGCTGTGGTTCAAGGCCACTGCCTAGTCTGTTCTGCTACAGAGTTCTAAGACTCAGCTGCCAGTGTACCCTTTGGTATCAAGAGAGTACAAGACAGCATGGTCTAATAAGCTAAGCAGAGACTCAACACACACAGAATTTGCATACCCTGATCGTGCTTTTGGTTTCCAAGAAGGCAGTAATATCCTAGATTTATCAAATACCATGGCAAAACATCAATTTGTTTGAACTTTATAGCCTTTCTGTGTTGCGTGTCTTTGCATTGCATTAATAGATTCTCTGCATTTGTGCCTGGAAAGCGTACTTACTCTGTGACAGGCTACTGAGAAATTATTTTGATTTGGAATGCCAACAGAATTTTTAAAACAAGCCAATAAAATGTGGATTAGCATTTCACGAAAGTTATTTACTCAAGAGTTTTAAAGAAAGCCAAACATAAAGTCATTGAGTAACTCTGGGCTACTACTTAAGTTGGCCTTTTTGTCAGAAAACTGGGGATTACAAATAAGAGATTATTTTTGAAAAGATGAGCAGGGAGATGCAGGGAATGGAGTTCCCTGGGGATCATTTGTTGGACCTGTGATCATATTTTCACCAATGGTGTGGAAAAAGTGGTAAGGAGAAAGAGGTGACAATACATGTTGACAATGCACAATTCTTCAGGTTAGTTAAAACTTAACTCTGAACAAGAAACATTGAATAGCTTTCTTGCTGGTAGTGTGTAATGTTGATAAAACGGTAAACAAAATTGTAGGTCACTAAAAAAAACCCCAGTAACTTAGTTGGAGGGGAAATGGTCCTAAGAATGCACAAATAGAATAGTGTTCTGAAGTAGTTGCAACTGCAACTGAGGAAGGATATATGTAATTATAAGGTATTTCTGAAACTGTGAACTGTGGCAAGAAGGCAAACAGAATGTTAACAGTCTTTAAAAAGCAACAGAAAACACAACACAGCTTCTTTTGGAGAACTGCAAATCCACTTCGTGCCCTCAATGTTGTATACAATTTAAGTTCCCTTCCTCTGCACCTTGAAAAGGTTTTGTTGAACTTTGCAGAGTGAAGAGAAAGTGGAGCGTTAAAATACAGAATTTTTTTCTTTATTCTTTTTTGGTTTTAAATCTGTGTAAGGACAAGGAGACTAGAGTAGGATTATATAGATTAAGATTTTTCAGTTTGGGAAAAGACAAATGGAGAGGCAGAAGCCATATAGGTACAGAAAATTGAGTTGTGTCATTCACTGAGTAGGAAAGCTGAATAGACAGTAATGGTCAAAATAGATTGTCACAACATTATAAGATAGTTTTATTAAAATAAATTAAACACTATTTTTACAGATTAAATCAATTATCAAAAGTAACAATTCATTTCCCCAGCATTTGTGGGTCTGAAAACAATTAATAGTTATTCCCTGATGAGTATTAAAAATAGTAACACAATCTCAGGTTCATGAAATCTCAAAGCCACCAGTTGCTGGAAGTTGGGAGAATATTCTTGAGGAAAGTGTCAATCTCTGGGGGGGTTTTATTGGGTTTGGATTTTTTTGGTTTTGGGCTTTTTTCAGAATCATTGCCTAATCAATTGCCACAGTTGAGGGTTTGGAACTAGAAAATGTACTGTCTACTGCAGGTGCTATTACAGATAATAATATACTTGTGACTGCACCATTCAGCAGAGCACCTGGTCTGTAATGGTGTAACTAATGATCTCTGAATCATTTCAGGCAGCTGTAGGAAATTTGCTGTACTTGATTTCACTGCCAGCAACAGCTTAATTGCCTCTGTCTTCACTGTCTGGGTCCTTTAAATGCACAGTCTCCTTTTCCACCTCTTTCTTCTGAAATACAACTTTATGATAACATATAAAAAGTCAACGGTAATGTAATGCAAAATGACAACTTCACCATTGATGCACTGACAGTTTAGGCTGGCTGAAATTGTTAAACTTCCTTATGAGAGAGACAGTGGCCCATACCCTATGCTTGGATGAGAACATGCACAAAAACATCTCCACTACCACTCTCCAGAAGCAGTAAATCCACTTGTTTTGGTTATTCTGAGACTCTTTCTCTACCTTTTTGTGGGACTTCAGAGATGGATGAAATGCTTTGTTTTCCTCAATTTAGTTTTTGGACAAGATGTCACTGTATTTTTTAATTCGTTCTCCCAGCCTTGTGCTAACCTTGGGCCCCTTGAAGACTCTTGGTTTTCATCATCCATAGACTGGAGAATGTAGGTCATATCTGGCTCTGCATTCTTGGTAGTTTACTACTATCAATGCCATTTACTACTAGCTGTTTACATTAAGGATAGTAGGTGATAGTGGTTACCTGTTTAATACATACATCATAGTGACTGCATAAAATGGCAGCAGCTGAAATGACAGTTCTGCAACAGAAGCATTTTATTGTGGAACAAGAGTGTTGCAGTGCAGAAGTCTGATACGAGCTTCCTGTTCCCTTACCAATAAGGTATATAGCAATAAAGTATTTCTTAATAAAACTGATAAACAGAAACATCATAATTTTCTCCTCTGGGCTCAGGTGCATCATCACATCATCACAGCTTGATGCCAGTGAATCAAACAGATCAAGCTACAATGCCAATTGAATTTCCATAGCTGAGCATAAATATGCTCTTAGCCCGTGGTAAATGTAAGGTAATATGACTGAGCGTAATCCTTGCTGAAATATTGACTTTATCTCATCCTGTGTGCACCCAGCTGTTGTGACTCATATGAAATATGACTTGACCATGTATTTAACTCATCCTTATAAAATGTTTTTCATGGTAAATAGGTTGCCCTAAAAGAGCAATTAGCTTGAGCTAGGAGTGCATGTGTAGCATTGCTTGAAAGGTCTAACCTCACGTGGTGAGAGCCAGCCCTGCATTCCTTCTCCCTTGCAGGGCAATAAGTCTTTCCAAAGTCTAAAGGTGTTTTTGTTCAACCCTGCCAGCACTTTTTTCCTTTGAGGATAAAGAGATTTTAATGGAATATGAAAATGAATGATATTCTAAGTCTCACAAGTACAGTGAATTTGCAGTTGTTCCTAATATGATTATTCTATTTCCACTTGCTGCACTACAAAACTAGATAATCCACTTATTTTAGCTCATCCATTCCACAGGCAGAAATGTATTAATAGTATTTCTTCATATGCTGGTAGTCTTGCTTTATAATATGCTCAAGACGTATGTCTTGAGACTTCTTTTTTTTTCTAACAGAGGGCACTATTTTTTCTGGATTACATTTTGTTATTTTTGAACTGGCAGATTGGCTGTTACTGGACAGTAAAGGCCATAATATTTAGCAGAAATAAGGCAGTTACCTCTCTTTCAAAGAATAATCTGCTGCACATATGAATAGAAGTTGGTTTGACAAGATTGCAACTGAAAAATGTAGATTCTTCATTTTGAAAATGAAAATTTTAGAACATTTTAATGACAAAATACTTTGTCCATACACATGTAAATTTCTACAATTTCCCCACAAGGGTGTCACTAATTCCCGTAAGTAAGTGTCTATGTCTGTCTTCTTTTTTTAAAAATCTTTTTTTTTCTTTTGCTCTTCTTTGTTTTGTTTTTAAGTACCCTTAGAAGTATGGGAAAGGTCACTGAAAATATGAATAAAAACATATGTGAAATCAGAACAGAAATAGAAGACTGGGATCATAACTGTTTTAGATACTTCATCAGATCTGAAGGGCATTGTGGTAAAGCTGCCCTATTTTAGACAGGATTTTTTGTATATAGGTTAGTTGCTGCAATGGGTTTCACAAGACTTCCAGAAGCAGTCAGGCACAGTGTAGGTGAGTTTTTAATGCTGCCCTTCCCTTTTTATAGCTCTGTCTTGCGAGACAGAGTATTGTGGTTTCCATTTAATCACCTTTGAAATAATTGTCCAATTACACAATAATATATTGCGAATCTTTCATAAGTTTCACATGTTACGAAATAGACAAGGGAGTGGTGTTGAAGACACCTGTAATTGAGGACATTGGTGGAAAGGAGAGAAAATGGAAGACATTTGTAGTGGTCAGTAGCAAGCACAGTGTTAAAGGTCCTCCCCTTCCGCTGATACATTGTGAGGTGTAAATGTCTCTACTAATTAGAGAAAAGGTTTGCCTCAGGGTCTAGGGTCTGAGCTTTCATGAGGTGAAATGTATTAATCATGAGTTTCTGTTCTATATTTTCAGAAGAATGGTGTATCAAATGGAACACTCTACAAAAGAACATTTATTGAGCACTTTGAACAGGCACCTATGTATGTTGCTGTTCTTACTTTCCTGGGTTTTGGAGTGGGAACAATATTTGGCTACCTGCGAGATTTTATGAGAGCCTGGGGACTAGAAAAACGTAACATTGCTGCAGAGAGAGAACAACAAAAAGTATGTATGAAAAAGACATTATGTATCCACAGCTGAGTTTTCCCCTCCTTGCAAGTGATTCACGACAGCCTGTCAAAGTAACAAGACAGACAGCTTTCATCTTAGAGAAGAACATTGCACAGGGATGAGAGGAATGGCAGGAATGACACACTGCAGGGTAGTTAAACATGTGTACCAATATATACCTATATATATATGAAAAATCGTGAGTCTTATGCAGAGAGATATTCACCTTGTTCCAAAAGTCATAATACTCTCAGCAAAATAGAATCTCAATATATTAGGTCAATCCACAGAAAAACAAAACTCAGAAATGCCTTATGGTTAAATAGACCATTTTTCCAAACATCTTAAACCCCAATTTTTCTTTGTCCCATATAGCTGTCTTGCATTGTCCTTCAGAGCAATAGGCAGTGCTAATATTTTTATAATTGCTTATGTTTGTTGAGTTCAGCTTATGTTTGCTGAACTGCTGGTCACAGAGCACTCAGGAATTGTAGTGCCAGCACAGAGTGGATGTAGCCTGGATTTTTGCAAGTCCTGACTTAGAAATTTTTACATCTCATGTAGTTCTAAGTGAAACTTGCACCTTAGCAAGCTAAACTGCCTTTCAACTTTGTTTAGATTCTTTGGTTGCTCCTCCTTCTCTGTGCAGTTTGAGTCATCATTTACAGTAACACCTGGCATAATGAAGGAAAAACATGAGTAGTGTTACTGATCATCTTGCAAATAAAATTCCTGAAATTGTTTCCTGCTTTGGCTTTTCAAAGATGCATACACAACATAATGAATATCCTTTGCAATTCTCTTGATGACATGGTCATTTGTTGACTCCAGATGTGCCAGTTAAGTTTCTTTGTCATCCACTGTGGATTACATGCTCATTTAATTCTCCCACATATGTTAACTACATGCCATGTTATCAGTTTATTGTATCCAGTGACCAACTTGGATATTTTGCTGTTTGATATAAAGCTTTGTTTAGATTCCATACCTTTTGAAAAAAAAAAGAAATAACTATTTTCCAAGTAAAGTCCATAGATAGAAATTAATTGTCAACCAAACCAATTGCCTTAATTCACTGTTTTACTGTCCAGAGTAGGCCAGCAATGCCCAAATCACTTACATTGGACAAGTTTTTATCTAGTGTATCCAGCATTTTAGTGAAATATAATGAGGAGTTTGTCCTAGTTTTGCAACCTGCTCCACACATAGCAAAATGCTTAATTTGAAGCAATCAGTTTCTCCAAATGAAAGAATCTCGATATTTTCCATTTCCAACTTTGAAAATATATATGGAGAGTTAAACCAACTTGTTGACCATTTCAAAAAAATAAAACAACCAAAACCAAAAAAAAAAACCCAAACTAAACACACAACAAAACACTCCACCCCCTAAAAAATCCAATACTGTGTTTCAGATGGATTAAAGTAAGATATTTGCTGACTGGAGTTGTATGTGACATAGGAACATGTGTCTGTTATAGCTCTCTGTTTATGAATGAATCAGCTTTTCCTTGTTTATGGGAATGACATGGGTACAGAAACAGACATTTCCTAGCAACATAACCCTGTGCATGTTTCCAAACCAGGATTTTGTGCCACTTTATCAAGATTTTGAGAACTTTTTCACCAGAAACCTCTATCTGAGAATACGGGATAACTGGAATCGTCCAATTTGCAGTGTCCCTGGGCCACAGTTTGACCTCATGGAACGTGTTACAGATGATTACAACTGGACATTTAGGTGAGTCATCTTCCACTCTGCAGCTGTCAGCTTCATAAGAATACTCCTGATACATCTGCAAAGCATAGAAAGTTGCATCTGGATCCTTGTCTAATATGCATCAGCTTTTTCTTTTCTGAAATCAGTACTGAGCTGACAATCTGACCTTTTTCTTCAGAATACTGTTTGAAAATGCAGTATGGATTTCCAACTCAGTCACAAATGGGTTTGTTTGGCTGGGTCAACCCAAGTAAGACTGCTGACACTTCAATTATAGCAACAGACCTTTGCTCAGAATATTATAACAAAATTTGTTGTATCCCTTGTTAGGATTTAAGTCATAATATTTTGCCTTGCATAAATGTGGCTTCTTACTTTCATTGTAAGTATTTGGCAGTGGATTGTAAGCAGATTACAGCTTGAAGTTCTTGGTGTATCACAACAGAATTATATAGCTATGGAAATTCACCACATAGGCAGTGTGTAGGTTGGCTATATTTCAGCTTATTGACAATGTATCACAGTGTTTCCTACAACTTTTTCATCATGTTTAATTTCTCTCTGTGTGTGAGAACACTGATGACTTTGTGGAATCTGTTGACAATTTGCTTGAAAAATTAGTGTCTATAAGCTGTTCCTTAAATAAAGTCCTAGGTTTGTTTGTTTATTTAAATCCATAAGAGCAGCCTTTCACCTAATAGCAGTATACTGCCATCTACAACTTGGCATCTAGAAAGCATTCTGAACAAGAAGCAGTATTTAGTCAGGAAAAAAAAAAAAAAAGGAAAAAAAGAGAAAGGCTGGAAAAACCTTTGGGTGGTTAAAGTATGAGGACTGTAAGTCCCTAAATAAGAATTTGACAGTGGAACAAAATTCACTGGGAAAAGTTTGGGATGTTTTTTTATTTTCATTTGGGATTGGAGGAAAAGTTGTACTATTGTTTAAAACTTGCTTTAATTATAGGTTTACAGGAAGGACTATCAAGAATGTTATCAATATGGGTTCTTATAACTACCTCGGCTTTGCAGAAACAGATGTTAATGCTTTGAAAACTGTGACCATAGAGTTAGAAAAATACGGGACAGGAATCTGCAGTACCAGACAAGAAATGGGTGAGTAAACAGCCAGATGGCCACCAAGGTTTCTGTAACTATATGCTTTTACTTACAGATATCTTGAAGAAACTGGATACTTTGAGAATTTTAATCACATCAGCAATTACTTGTTTTGCAATTAAAAGGGATGCTGTGTCTTATTTGTTATCACATAAGGATTTTTTTCAAAAGGGAAAATAATACTGATTTTTGGAAAAGCAAAACCAAATGTGTCCTATAGTGGCCTGGGATTTTTAATGATGGAAGTAACAGGCTTAGTTTTTAAAAGAAGGAAAATAAACATCGAGACTTCAAGAATTGTTCAAGGGCAAATTCAGTTGCATCACAGATTTATATCAGTTACCACACACAGAGATTTCAGATTAGTAAAATGAGCTTTAACATAATTTCTTTTTTAATCCCATGTTCTAAGAATGTATTTATGAGACATCATTGGCAAAAAATAGAAATTTCTAGTGTGCCTCTAAGGAATAAATTCAGGAAAGCTCCATCTGATTTTTTGGTTTAGATGTCCTTTATGATTTGTCTGCTTTGTTAGTTTGTGGGCTGCGTGTAGTTTTATCTTCAACTGTATGTTTATACAGAAAGCCTTGAATTCCTGATGGTATGATCAGCTTACATTTTGCAGAAAACAATTTCAAGCTATAGAAATGCAAGGGGAAGTTTTTCTTCCGGCTTTATCTTTCTTGGAAGTTATCAAAAAAAAAGAAAAAAAATAGGAAAAAAAAAGGTAGGCTTCCCAAAATGGGGAAGTCTTTTATACACTTCTTTTTTTCTAGTCTAGCAACCTGAAAAAAAATCATTTTCTATCTCTCAAAGTAAACTCTGTTCCTTCAGAAACCTTATGGAAAAAATACTGTATTTAATTTGAGTTTTTATTTAAAGTCTCATTTCTAAAAAAAAAAAAAATGCACACCATGTGACCTGCTTCTTATCTTGTCACCATGGTTTAACTTGCCAATAACTATGTCAGTAACACCACTCAGAGAGGGTTTACAGATTGACCCTACTTTCCTTTTGTAAGTGACCCATCTGGTGACTGTAATATATTGTTTAACCTGAATTGCATGGTTGAAAGTAGTCACCATTATTAGTTATCTAAGATATTGAAAGAAGCTTTCTCTTTGTCTTTCTCTTGGATTCTGTTTTGTCAGAGAACATTTCAAGTTGATTTCATAACATCTAAGATTATGCCTGGTGTTCCTTATTTAGCTTCTGTGAATTTTTTTTCATGGAAGACTTTAACTTTGACTTATTCTTATTTTAAAAAATACCACCTTATTAAAAGATTGAATCTGTCTTCAGATATTAAAAATCATATTCACTAACTTCATATAGTCTGTTTTGAGAGTTAATATGTAGAAATTTCTAGGGCTTTCTCTTCCTCTGAACCTCCTGTGCTGGACTCAAAATTGTCTTGAGCAAGGTATTAGATTCATTCTAATTGCTTTCACAGCAAACAGTCCCATGAACTGCATCCAGACTATTCACAATGCAAGAATGGGCTATAAATAAAGAACATTGTATGAGTCTTGTATCAGTCTTTTGGGAGTGAATTTCAGAGAGCAGTTTAGACATTGACTTAATAAAAAAGGAAAGCAGAGTGTTAAGACCTGACTTAGCTGAAAGGATGAACCGTCACAGCATTTTGTCCTGGACAGGTAACAGAGAACTTGTGCTCTGCAGGGCAGCTCTGAGCTGTGGTTCCTTCATTGGCCCTGGCTCTGTTGGAGCCCGTGTATCACCAACAATTGTATAAACAGCCTGAGGAAAACAGCTTCTTATTCATAGTGTGGATACCCTCTTCCCTTGTTCCTTTTCCCTTTTGTGCTACTTCAGCTCTGGTCTCATCACAGTTGAACAGATCTGAAAAATTCTGAGTGAAATATATATACATGTGTACTTTCAAGAGAGAGATAGGGAAGGGTCTTCAAGAAAGGTTTTACCTTTTTTAATTATCATTTGTCATCTTCATCTTAGATAAATAAAACAGAATGGGTTTGTTCCTGAGCAGATCACATTTCAAAACTTTTGTTATTGTTTGGCTGAGCTAAAGTGGTTTGAAGTAAAAATGCAATGAGCTGCAGGAGCCAAGGCTGTAAATTGCTTGTGGGGTTCTAATCCAAGAAAGCCCTTGAACATATTTATATTTTCAAGTTAATTGACTTTGAAAGTGCTGTTCTGCTTGTGTGCATTTAAGTGTCTGGCATGTTAGGAGTTTTACCAAGATCTCACAAGGTAGTGATGACTCTGAGAAGGATCATTCTACTACTTTCAGAAATTTCAGAGAGAAGGGAAAACATAGAAGACACCAAAAAAAGTAATGTGAGTGATGTTTGAAAGAATACAAAAACTGTCCTTTGCGGTCTTCTGCCCAAACTGCTCCTTTTATAACTGTGCAGACTGTGGAGTGGGTATGCAGTGCTGCCATATCAGAATATTGTTGCCAGTAATTTGCTCTCAGAATAAGTCAATATGGGTATTTCAACTTGGTCGTTTATAGCTTAATAAAGCTGTGCTTTATTAAGGAAACTTAGTGAAACCAGAACTTGTTAAATATAAAACAATTGTTCTACATTCCCAGAAAAGTAACTCAAGACTATATGTAAATATAGTTCGGAAGTTCACTTCAGTGAGAACTGTGAAGCTCAGCTCATGCTTCCTCTAAAATAGTAGTGCACGTGCCACATGAACTCACATTCCTGTGAGAGCACCAAAGCATAGAAAACTGATAAAAACAGTGGCTGGCCTGCCTAGATTTGTCCTCCATAAAAAAGATTTAAGGCTTTTCACTCCATTTTTAATTCCATGCCCTTTTTAACTGATAATAATAAATCACTTTCTTAGTATAATTGTGTCATTTAAGACACATTTTTGAGGCCTTCGTGGGACTTTCAATGTGAAAGAAAAATATTTTCCTTTTTTCTTAAGACCAAGCTATTATCTCTTAGGAGCAAGATCCTGGAGTTGTAAGTTTTTGCGAAAGCTTATTGTTCAGTGGTCAGAAAGCTTAATGTTCAGGGGTCAGAAAGCAAACAAAACACTAGAAATTATTAGGAAGTGAACAGAAAGCCAACCATAGAGCATCAGCATGCTACTGCATAAAGGTGCTGTTTGCTGTTGTTTTGAGTACTCTGTGCACTTCTGATCAAAAATATTTAGCAGAACTGGAAAGTGTCAGAGAAGGGCAGCAAGGATCATCAAAGGCTTCAAACAGCTTCTTGGTGAAGAACTACTGAGCTTGCTGTCTTCAGCTGTCAGAAGTGCTTGTCATCTGGCTCAAAAAGAGCCTAAAGGGGGAAAGTAAAGAAATCTTCAAAATTATGTGTGGCATGAAAGAGTGATCAGGGTTGGCTATTCATTGTCTCTTCCACTACCAGATCTACAGGGCATTTTATGAAGCTGGTAGAAGGTTTTTACCTAAATACAGGAGGCAGCTCTCCACATTGGAACCTGTCAGACCTGAAGGAATTCATTTCAAAGAAGGATGCAGATGCCAGAACTTCACACTCCCTTACATTCTAAGGGTCACATGCAGAGGAGAGATCATTGACAGTTACTAGAAATATCCAAACTGTTATCTGATTCAGGATGTCCTTATGTTGCAATAATTAGAAGCTGGGATGATACTATATATGTTTGTCCTGCTTTCATTCTACCCCAAACATCAGTACAAGGCCACTGTCAGATGAAGGGTTATGGGCAAAAAAGGACCTTTTGTGTGGTGCAGTTCATTTAGTACCAGTTGTTTAGCATTATGTTATGTAATTAGTTGTTTAATATTAATTTATATTATTGCTTATATGCCTATGGCCATTGTTTTACAATCATTAATACTGAACCTCTTGACTAGCAAATAATCATAACAACCTAGTGGCCTTCTATAATAGAGTGACTGCATCAATAGGCAAGGGAAGGGCTACAGGTGCCATTTATCTGGATTTCTGTAAAGCCTTTGAAACAACCTCCCACAAATCCTTCTCTCTAAATTGGAAAGACATGGATTTGATGAGTGGACTGGTAGATGAATAAGAAAGTTGCTGGACAGTTGCATCAAGAGGGTGGTTGTCAATGGATCAGAGTCCCAACAGACATCAAGTGTTGTCCCTCAGGGGTCTGTATGGGGACTAGTGTTATTAAATATCTTCAATAATGACATAGATAAAGGGATCAAGTGCACCCTCAGCAAATTTGCAGGTGATGCCAAGTTGAGTGGTGCAATTAACACTCCTCAAGGACGGAATGCCATCCAGAGGGACCTGGGCAAGCTTGAGAAGTGGGCCCATGGGACTCTCATGAGTTTTAATAAGACCAAGTGCAAGGTGCTGCACCTGGGTTGGGGCAACCCCCAGTATCAATATGGGATGGGGGTGAACAGATAGAGAGCAGCCCTGCCGATGACTTTGGGGGTGCCGGTGGATGAGAGGGTAGACACGAACCAGCAATCTTCACTTGCAGCCCAGAAACCAACTGTGCACTGGGTTGCATCCAAAGCAGTGTGGGCAGCAGATCGAAGGAGGGGTTTCTGGCCCTTTACCCTTCTCTGGTGAGACTCCATCTGGAGTGCTGCATCCAGCTCTGGGGTCTCCAGCACAGGAAGGAAACCAACCTGTTGGAGCAAGTCCAGAGGAGGCCGTCAAGTTGATTAGAGAGATGGAGCACCTCCCCTATGGGGAAAGGCTGAGAGAATTGCCATTGTTTAGCCTGGAGAAGAGAAGGCTTCAGGGTGACCTAATTGTGCCCATTACAGCACCTGAAGGGAGCTGACAAGAAAGATGGAGATGGGACTATTTAACATGTAATGTAGTGACAGGACAAGGGGAAGTGGCTTCAAACTCACAGTAAGTTTAGATTAGATATTAGGAAGAAATTCTTTACTGTGAAGATGATGAGGCACTGGCACAGGTTACCCAGAGTAGCCGCAGATGCTCTATCCCTGGAGGTTTTCAAGGCCAGGCTGGATGGTGCCCTGAGCAACCTGATCTAGTGGAAGGTGT